TTATGAATTCGACATGGGGAATTCCATTAAGAAACCTCAAGAGATGAAGTGAGAAGGTCGACAACTTTGTTGAAAGGTTTTCTCCTTTTGTTTTGAAGTACGAATTCACTCAAGGTCAAAGTGGCTTAGTAACCACATTAAAACCTATTGTCGAACATTGGTCTTACCCTCAGTTCGCAAAGGCAGTCCTTGACAACTACAACAAATTCTTCTCCGAAGTCAAATCCAAAGTGAAGGTTTACTATGAGAGACAACAGACACATGACGAACGAAGAAGGGTACAACAAACTCATTGAAATGGGAATGGTCGGTGAAAAGATGGGCTGTTTTAAGCTAGATAAGGTATTTTCCGAAGTTCATGTAATATCGAAAAGGAAATATTGGGGCATACTTGAAGACGGCACAGAAATAAAACATTGCATGAAGTAAAAATTGCATGAAGTAAAACGTTTTTAAAACAATATATTTTTACATATATTAAATGCTTCAGGTTGAAAAACAAAGAACAAAAGTAGCAGATACAAAACCGTTAGACTATATCTTTACAAATGCTGGTAGGAATATTTCAGATGAAGAAATTTCATCCCGAGCTTACAGGTTTGACTATCCAATTCGTTGGCTTCAAAGTCCTTCAGATGCAAAGGCAATAGGATTTAGAAGAGTTTTGTTTTCAAATAGAACTAACGCATTTATGTTCGCAGTATATTTTCATGGGCAGTATAAAGGTTCTGATGGTCTAATAGACAAATTTGACGAAATGAAAATCTTTACAATTCGTTCAGACGAAGGTCTTGAGAAAACTCTAAATGACTTTCAAACTCAAATGAACAAATATTATTGGGAATTTCAAAAAAAATACGACTCTTTACTAAATGGAACATACTATCTGAAACTAGAATATGACAAGATGAACTCCACCGTTTCATTTCAAAAGATTGAAGTTAACCCTCCAAGAGATACAGAGTTTTTATATTGGGGAGTAGACAAACGTTCTTGGGCACAATTTCTTCGGTTACTAAACCAGAACGAACCATTACCACCAGATGGTCCATTTAAATTTATACTTCCACCAGCAGATTTGACAGTTTATAGAAACGTGTTTGACCCTCAAAATGTTATGTGTCATGCAAGTTTCAGTTCAAGCAACAATAGTTTTCTATGTATTGGTAAGGACTTTTATGACTTTGCTTCTAAATTCTACGAACCACCTAGTAACAGTTTCTCTGACTTTCAAGTTTGGTTCACAACAAACGGTGTGCAACATATAATACCATTGTACTATGACTTTTATCTCGAATTGTCTTTCATATACAACTACGGAAAAGTGCTGAAAAAGTATTGAAAAATAATGTTTAGGGTAGAAGGTTAGATCTAACCTCTTTTCTAACCTCATTTCTACCCTCTTGAATTTTCATGAAATTTACACCAAAAATAATGTTTAGGGTAGAAGGTTAGATCTAACCTCTTTTCTAACCTCATTTCTGAACAAAAACTCTTGAATTTTGTATAAAAAGCAACCGCCGGAATACAGACGGTTGTTATATTCTTCACAAAATGCTTGTTTTGAGGTCGAGCCACTTTTGGCTCCACCGTATTCTTTCAACCAAAACTCATGAAATTTACACCAAAAATAATGTTTAGGGTAGAAGGTTAGATCTAACCTCTTTTCTAACCTCATTTCTAACCTCTCGAAAATCATGAATTCAGCAAAAATAATGTTTAGGGTAGAAGGTTAGATCTAACCTCTTTTCTAACCTCATTTCTAACCTCTTGAATTTTCATGAAATTTACACCAAAAATAATGTTTAGGGTAGAAGGTTAGATCTAACCTCTTTTCTAACCTCATTTCTAACCTCTTGAATTTTCATGAAATTTACACCAAAAATAATGTTTAGGGTAGAAGGTTAGATCTAACCTCTTTTCTAACCTCATTTCTAACCTCTTGAATTTTCATGAAATTTACACCAAAAATAATGTTTAGGGTAGAAGGTTAGATCTAACCTCTTTTCTAACCTCATTTCTAACCTCTTGAATTTTCATGAAATTTACACCAAAAATAATGTTTAGGGTAGATGGTTAGATCTAACCTCTTTTCTAACCTCATTTCTACCCTCTTGAATTTTCATGAAATTTACACCAAAAAATATAATTTAGGGTAGATGGTTAGATCTAACCTCTTTTCTAACCTCTTTTCTAACCTCTTGAAAATCATGAAATTTACACCAAAATAAAAAATAAAGTTAGTTTTTTTAAAAAAATATTTTTTATTTTTATTGTAAGAACATGTTAGCAACAACAGCACCAAACTCGTTAGTTATGAATCCAACTTCAATGTTAGTAGAAATGAAAAGCTTCATTCCTTCTTCATATACTTTCGAAACAGAAATCCAGAAGATAAAGCAAGAACTTCTCCAAGGAGATTTAGACTGTAGTGCGAAAGATGAAACAAATGAACAGTATCTTTATGAAATGCAGGATATTATTGACCATCTACCTAAACTACCTGAAATCCAACAACAAAAACTCACTATTCCTGAATTCGACGAAATTGAAGTGAAACCAACTGACTCAGTAGAAATTAAGAAGTTCATACGAAAGGTAAATTATGAGTTTCTTGGATTTCATTGCAACCATAAGGTTATGGACAAAGATTGCGATATGGTATATAAGAATGTTTCTGACATATATAAATCTGGGGAGTTTAAAACCTACGACAACTTTGTTTCATTAGTTGCAGAATGTGTATGGCAGATAAGAGATAAAGATAGAAGAGGTAAGGTATGGAACAAACAGATAAAACCAACTGCTTTTGAGTTAAAGAAAACCATTGACGCTTTAGTTGTTCTAGCAGGTAAGGTTTCAGAATATAACGCAAAAATGAACCCACAATGTTCTAAATGTAAAGCAGCAATTAGGAAATATAACTACTCCGTCAAAGAGATAGAACGTATGAGAAACGACTATGCAGACTTAAAGAAAGAAGCAGAAAAGCCAGCAGAAGATAAAATGGACATGTTAGAATTTCTGAACAAAAACTATCCAACTGCAGACGATTTCCTTTTATCTGACGTCAAGAAGAAGTATAAAGAAACCTTCGGCATAGTTAAAACATTCGATGTACTAAAAGAAGAAATAGAAGCTACGAAATTGTTTAGAGTCTCACGAATTCATAACGTTTACCATGTAAAACGTTTATAAAATAACTGGGGTAGAAAAGAGGTTAGAAAACAGGTTAGATCTAACCTTCTACCCTAAAATATATTTTTGCTGAATTCAGCAACAAAATTCTGAGTAAAATAATTTTTAGGGCATGTGTCAAACCGTTGAGTTTTCACAAAATTTAAAAAATAACGTTTACCATGTAAAACGCTTATAAAATAACTGGGGTAGAAAAGAGGGTAGAAAAGAGGGTAGAAATGAGGTTAGATCTAACCTTCTACCCTAAAATATATTTTTACTGAATTCAGCACAAAATTCTTCGATGTTAGAAAAGAGGTTAGAAAACAGGTTAGATCTAACCTTCTACCCTAAAATATATTTTTTGGTGTAAATTTCATGAAAATTCAAGAGGGTAGAAAACAGGTTAGAAAACAGGTTAGATCTAACCTTCTACCCTAAAATATATTTTTATTGAATTCAGCAACAAAATTCTGAGTAAAATAATTTTTAGGGCATGTGTCAAACCGTTGAGTTTTCACAAAATTTAAAAAATAACGTTTACCATGTAAAACGCTTATAAATAATGAGGGTAGAAAAGAGGTTAGAAAAGAGGTTAGATCTAACCTTCTACCCTAAACATTATTTTTATTGAATTCAACATAAAATAACTGGGGTAGAAAAGAGGTTAGAAATGAGGTTAGATCTAACCATCTACCCTAAACATTATTTTTGCTGAATTCAACACAAAATTCACGAGGGTAGAAAAGAGGTTAGAAAACAGGTTAGATCTAACCTTCTACCCTAAAATATATTTTTATTGAATTCAGCAACAAAATTCTGAGTAAAATGGCATATGCTTGCTTCCCTCGGAAAAACCGAGAGAAGAGATTCCGTATGAAAATCATGAAAAAAACTCATGAAAATCGTGAATTTCCTTAAGATAGAAAAAATAAAGTTAGTTTTATTTTTATTTATTTTTTTATTTTGTATGTAAAGACAGATATGTCAACAACAGAGAACACAACAACAGTTATAGTCCATGAAGCTATAAATGAAGAATATGAGTGGGTTCAGTTTAACAAACAATTGCGTCTAATTCGTTCGGTCAAAGACGATATGTACCAAATGCAAAGTATTTTGAATGCTCTTCGTTCTACAAAGCAAGCATATCATTGGTTTGAAAACCAACAGACAAAAGAACTTTTAGAAGAATTTCCTCATATGCTTGCTTCCCTCGGAAAACCGAGAGAAGAGATTCCGTACGAAAATCGTGAAAAATTGCCAAACGGTTTGAGAGGATATTATGTACATAGACTTTTAGTAAATGCTGTTGCAATGTGGGCTTCACCTCGTTATGCTTGGAATATTTACAGACTTCTTGACGAAATTCATAGACAAGAACGTGAAGAGCTAGAGAACAAGCTTGAAGCAAAAGACAAAAGCATTCAGAAAAGAATACCACGTTCGGTACCAAAAGGTAAGGAAAAGAACTATAAGTATATGATTTATACTGAAGAGATGGAAAATGAAGAAGATAAAGATATGGTTATGTTGCATTTAGTCAGAAGAAACAACAAAAGCTTTTACGACCTTGCTAAGATTTACAAATCTGACAGAAATTGGTTCTATCGCGAAAACTTACCGATTTCAATGACTCCGAATGAAGATGTGAAACAAATAGTTCAAGATACGTTACCTCAAACACACTATGATATTAAAGGTTGTACAATTCTTACCTTCAAAGAAGATTTGCCATTGTTAAAGGAAAAAATAACAGAGTATTTTGACAACTTCAAACAAGTAGAGTAAATTGCACTCTTTATTTTTACGCTTGACTTCAGATGGCTCAGGTAGCTCAATTAGGTAAATTGCCTCGTCAAATCCTTCTGGCATTCCGAGTCCTTCCATCAGACAGGAAGAACTCTTCCTTCCAACAGGAAAAAAATTTTCCATCAGACAGGAAAATATTTTCCATCAGACAGGAAAAAATTTTCCATCAGACAGGAAAAAATTTTCCATCAGACAGGAAAAAATTTTCCATCAGACAGGAAAAAATTTTCCAGTTGTCCGTCCGTAAACCATTCAAATTTTCGAAAATTGAGAACTTTTTGGTCGAACTTCAGGAAAAATTTTTCCTTCCGACAGGAAAAAGTTCTTCCTTCCGACAGGAAAAGTTTTTCCCGACAACTGGAAGAACTCTTCCATCCGACGTACCACCAACCGAGTCCATTCCCAAGCCAGAAGAACCGACAGCCCCAGCACCACAACAGACTTACTAAGACTAAACACTTAGATTTTTCAAGCTTGACTTTTTACAATTTGAACTTTGTTCGCGTAGATATGAATTCTGAAAGAAGTATGAGGGTCTTGTATGACTTTATACTTCTCCCATAGTTCATGTCTGTCAAACTTACCTGCCATGGACTCTTTCATAAGTTCCATGAAATCGTCTTCGGACAATCCGGGGAAAAGTATTATGTCAGTAAGTATTCTTTTAACATCCTTACTTAAACTCTTTGCTGTCTGTACACAAATGACAACTGAGATGTTAAAGTGTCTGAGCTTCTTAAGAATTCGACACATATCTTGTTCTCTGTTCTTAAGCAAAGGATGAGAGGCGAAATCATCTAAAATAAGAAGACATCTATGAGGGTAAGTCTTCCAATCGTAAGATTGCAATTTCTTCGAAATGTATTCTATCTCTTTCTGTTTGTTTCTGAAGTGTTTCTTCTCTAATATTCTCTGCATTTCCTCATTTGGGTCTTTAAACTTCGAATTTATATACTCATTTATAGCATTATACTTCAAAACTCTTCTTTGGTACTTCTTTATCCAATCCAACAACTCAGAGTCTTTTATACATACTAACTTAGACTTCTTTATAATATCTTTGAACGAATTGACGGTTTGGTCAAATTGACCAGAAGTCGAACAAATAACAACTAACTCATAGAATGGGTTCTTCTCATCTAGTTCTTGTTGTTGTGCAGCCATTTTAAGATAAGTGAAAGTCTTACCCGACCCAGGTGGTGCAATTAGACCTGTTATACCATTCTGAGCAAATAAGAACTTGTCATGTATAGGCTTTATCTGAGCATTTTCTAACTTCCTCTTGTTCTTGTTTAAAACATTCTCAAATTTTTTGTCAATGTCAGCAAACTTTTTTTCTAACATATTTTTAGGAAAATTAAAATTTTTATCTTTTAGAAAATGTCTAGCGATTTCGCTATCTATATTCGAGACAAACTTTTTGACAGCAAAACATCTGTAGACCATAAAATTTTACATAGTGTAAACAAGAAAGGTGAATTTGTTCTAAAGTTCTGTTTCTGGGAATATGACAAGAACCATAAAACATTACAAAGAGCAGTCTTAAAATTTGTCAATGACAGACTTGTTGACAGAGATGACGCCGATTGGAAAGATGAAGTCCAACAAAAGTTCTTAGAATGCAAAGAAGACACATGCGCTGTTCTTGAAGATGAAATAGAAAACAGAATAGAAGAGCTATTAAAGGACAAAGAACTTTTACATAAATATGGTTGCGCCAAATTTGACATAACTCCACCAGAAAGAAGAAGAAAGAAAAGAAAAGAAAGAAAAGAAAAAAGTAGAAGAGAAAAAGAACCTGAACCATTCCAGAGAAGAAGAAATTTGACATGTAAAAATAAAATTTTATTTTTAGAACATTTCTGGGTCAATGTCAATGTTCTCTTCCTCTTTAGGAGCAAACACCGGCTTAGACTCTAAAATCTTTTTACCCAATTTACCTTGAACTTTACAACTTTAGACTCATAATATTCATAGTCGTCTGTCTTTCTTTGGTTCATAAGTATAACAAGTTTGTATGCTTTGCCTTCTTTAAGGTTTTGAGAACCTTCTGTCAAAACTTTCTTTGACTGTTAACAAACCTTCTATGTCTAAGTCTTCAAATTTCGCACCATTTTTAGTCACAATAGCAAACTTAACTGGTTCGATGTTCCAAACTTTGCTGATGAAGACTTTTCAAAATGGTAGAAGTAAACATTCAAATAAGCGAATGGTCTAGTTCTTCTTTAAGTTCTGACATGTACTTGTTTACTGAATATATTTCGTCATCTTTTCTATCGGATAAAAAAATATTTTTTTTATAAAATTTACTCAGAAAAATTTTTTTGTATATACCCATTCTGACATCTAAAAGACTTTTACATTTGCCAAGAATGTTCGTTTAGAAGCTGTCATATAACCATACTCTTGACAATATTGTTTATACGAATCGTACAATGACCTTTCATCTAATGACACAAAGTCAGTTTCATCTACGAACAGTTCATATACACTCTTGTTTGCTTCTAACAATGTTTGTCTCTCTTCGGTATGTGGAATTTGTCTTGGATTGAAGTTAGAAATATCTAATGTCATGAAATATGAGAACAAGTGGTTGTAAAAGTCAGATGTCAAAGTTTCTGCTAAGTCGTCAAAATATTCTGTATCTTGCATATGAGAATCTGACGTTCTGACAACTACATATCTTCTGTCAGAACTTTCTAACTTCATCGGAACGGCATTGTTTGAAACCATAATGAAATTTGCAACATTTTCACAAACTCTTTGGTCTTTATACTTTCTTTCAACAACTCCAACTTTGTCTGTTATAAGACTCTTCAAAGCATCTGAGTTCAAAACTTTTGTTGTATCTATACTTTGAAGTTCATTGCAACTATAATTTCATATTCTCTATTGAAGAGTTAAATTTACCGCAGATGTTTTCTAAGTTTGTCATATTAGGGTTCGAATAACCTTCTAACAGTTTGCACAAAATATCTGTAAAGAAAGTATTCTTACTGTTCCTTGTTTTCCAATTATGATGAGAGCAGTTTCATTTTTAGCACTTGGATGTTGTAAGATGTTTGCAAAACCAACATAAGATATACTCATAAACCTTTTCGTTTCCATTGCATATAATTTCTTTGACATGGTCTAACCAAGCTTCTATAATATTTTCTTTCCATTCTACTTGTTCGTATTTATATCCAGTGAAGATAGAATAGAAGTTTGGAGAAGGTGTATAGAACTTTATACTCGAACTGAAAAATCTTCTAACTTTGACAATAAGATATCCCAAGCATCTAACATCTCATGCCAACTTGTACAACTTTTATTTTCTTAAGTTTCTGTCTACATTCTTGTTCAACACTATTGTTGCTCTTGGTTTGTTAAATACAACATCCATTCTTTTCATGACATAACATTCTGGGCAGAGTCAACATAAATGACTAAACGTTTCAAATTCTCGACTGCTTTGTTATAGTCTCTAAATGGACACATATTTCTGAATGCTTGGAAGTCATAAAAATCTGAAACATCTATTCTGTACATTTTTATAAAAAATAAAAAAAATATTATTTTTTTATTCTTGACTTTGTTGTTCCATTTGTTGCATTTGTTGTTCTTGAGCTATTTGTTGTTGAAGTTGTTCTTGTAATACAATACTTTCACCAGTTGCATCTTCCAATTCGAAACTTTCTGCCGTCATTGACAAATACATAGGACATAAAAGTTTTACAGGAACAAAGTTTGCGTCAACTAATGTCAACTTATACTTGCCAAAGTGTTTGAGTTCACTAAGGTGAAAATTCTGCATTCGAATGAACAATAGGCAAACCAGCAGAGAAAGTATTGTTTATACGCATAAGTATCTTTTGGTCATAGTAGTTTCTGTCGACATTCGAATAGCACTTTGAACCTAAGTTTGAAACAATATATAAAATAGGTGTACTTAAAGTCAATGGAATAGACAAACCTTGTATGACACCTTTTCCTGTTATAGGAAACTGTTGGTAGTAAAACCCAGATATAAGTTTTGTATTATAGCTCATATCGTTTATAGTAAACTCAGTCGGACATCCAAACATAATGAAACTGCTCTAGTTGCAGCACATGTTACATCCGTCCTTAAAGTATTAAATAAGTCAACAAAACCTGTTGGTGGTATATCTGAGTAAGTATCTTCAAAGGTATTTTTTACCATTCACAACAAAAAATCTTCTGGTGTCAAAAAGAGCAAAACAGGCTTTAGTCGTCATTGTGTTTAAGGTTAGTTTACAATATCGTCCTTGAGGACTTTGTAAGTTTGTTGTTATAGAATTATATGACTCAGGGTTTTTAGTCGTAATAGTATAAACCACTATGTCTTCTGCCATTTTTATATATTTAAAAGTTTTCTGAAAGTGGAGAAGAACTTCATCTAAACTTTCACATGGCGTTTCTTGAAGTTCTTCTGTCTAAGAAGTTCAAATATTTTGTAAAGACATAGAACTTTCCTTTGTCTACACGAACAAACAAAACAGGGTCTTTCATATCGTTCAAAAGTGTGTAAAGTCTTTACATGAAATAAAGTCTATATTATTTTTCTTCAAACATCTTTCAAGAAGTTTTGACATTTTTACTTAGCAAATAAACTTTAATGAAATGTTGTGGTCGTCAATATTTTTATGACGTCTGGGAAACTATATTTTAAGTTCAACGTTTCACCTCCTTTCATAACGTATATCTTGTCAATGACATTATATGAAACACCACAGCAACTAATGTCGGGTTCTATTTTTTGATGTTTATATCGTCTGCCTCTGTCAAAAGTTTCAATAGTTCTTTCAAAACTTCATGAGGTGCAATGACATATGAGTTCACTTTTACAGGGTTGTGTTCGACCAAGTTTAACATTATACTTAAAGCTTGACAAATCTTCTCCTGAGTTTGAAGTTTGTCTTTAAGTTGTTGGTAGTCGTTTCGAATATCTGCAACAGAACTTAAGTCTCTGCTAACTTCAGGATATGTTGGTTGTTCTTTTACAGGAACTATTGTTATACCATCTTCGTCTTCGTATGGTTTCCCCACTTCAACATCTCTGTCTTTGACATTGACAATAACACTTTGACTGTTTGTTTGAGTTGGTGAATTTAACTTCACATCTGCCACCGCCATTAAACCTTTTGAAACACTTACGCTTCTATTTTTCGGAAATGACATTTTACTTAGAATAAAAAGATGGACGTATTTGAGTATCTCTTCGAATTGAAGCAAAACAAAGTTTACACACACAAACAATACAAGTTCATTGACAGAATAGTTCTTTACACAAACAATGGAAAATGTTATAGAATAGTAGTCTTTGCTGAACCAAAATATTTTCATAAAGCAAAGAAAGTTGGTATAACTGAAATGGTGAAAGTTCTTGACGTTGACAAAATATAACAACAAAACTGACGATATTTCTAAAGGTAAGTTTATAATACAATACTATGTCAAAACTGGCGTACTGTCAATATTTGACGGAGAGAAGTCAGTTCAAGAACAACTTACTGACCTGCTGCCAAAATCTGCTCGATGGAAGCTGTCGTTATGCCAATCTGAGGAGCCCCAGCAGGTTTCATCGAACGAATCTTCAAAAGAGCATCTTCCGTGAAAAGTGCTATTGGTTTTGTAAACTTCTTTGCTTTCAATTCATCTGGACCGTCTCTGTCACCAGTATATTGTATTTGTACATTACCAACAGTTTGAAATACCACCCATAAAGTCTTCTGAGTCAGCAAATGGAATGCCAAGCCAAAAGTTTTGAACGGTCTCCATTTGTATATTGAGTTTTTTGACCTCCTGTATGAGTCCATACTTTCACATATGGCATAATAGAACTTTGCATTTCAGGGCTTAATGGTTGTTTGAAGTTGTTGTTAAAGTTCATAGCATCTAATGTCAAGTTGTATGACCTCATATCCTCAACTGTAGAATATTCTTCTCTTGGATAATATTTGCCATCTAGTTTATATGATATTTAATACCAGGGTTGTAGAAACAAGAATAGTCATTTATAGTTCGTCTGAACAGTACAAACATAGTATCTGCATGTTTCATTGCAGTTGTTAAAGCAATATCTGTTCTTGCACCTGTGGTCAGCACTTTGGTTCCAACTTCACCTGCAAAGTCTTTGACAGATATTTGTGTATAGGGAACATAAGTGGAACTGCAATATATTTGGCACTAAAGCATTTGAAATTGGGTCCAACATATAGACTGCAAGTCTGCTTTCTATTCTCTTGCATTCAAACTTTTCGCATGTGAACTTAACTGGTCCCAAGCAGTTCCAGCAGCATTGAATAATAGTTTACTTCAGTGTTGAAGTTTGAGAAACCAAAGTCTAAGTCAACTTTGTCTTTGCAAAATTCGGCGAATGACGTTTGATTGCTCCCTTTACGTCTGTAAGAGTGAATGGGTCTTGTGTTGGTGCAATGACTAAGTTATTTTGCTTGGAGTAAGTTCGATAGAAATTTTTCCTGCCCAGTTTGGCAAGTATCTTAAAAACCTGAAGATGAGGAAAGATGACAAAGGAACTCTAAGTTTCAGTTTACTTTAGTGGCAGCGGTTCCATCTGAACCAGAAAGGTTAACATAAACTCCTGGAACGTTAGGGTCAAGTCTTCTTATTTTCTCAATAGTTGCATACTGGTCTGTTTGTTCTCTAGCTTGTGGTTGTACTGAGTTTCTCAAAGCGAACCATTCATAGTTTGCCCATGTTACCGTTTGAACTAAGTCAGAGTTAGAATATATCTTATATCCCATGAAAACTTCTGGAGCATATTGGTATCCGACATAGAAAATTCCATTGCAACCTTTCTTGTAGACAACTTGGCAGAAGGTTTTATTTCAATGTCTTGTTCCACGTATAAGAATGAGTTGTCAATAGAAATAATGTGAAACTGTCGCAAGCAATATCTACTGTTTGTTGAAGAACCTTCTCCAAACTCACCTACGTTTCCATAAGAAACAGCAGTTGTATATTCGTAAGTTCCAGGAACTATTTCTGACCTTCTAATGGCATTGTCGCATTCGTTATACCATTCGGAAACATTTCCATTCATGGCATCCAAAACTGTTGGCGTTATATTCTGAGCGGCGTACATTTCATATGGGTAAAAATATAGAATAGTTGGATTTATATGTCATAATAAAACCCACTCGGACCAAGCTTTACTTTCTTCCTGACTGAATCTTTAACTCTTCTTTTTCCTTCATTGCCACTACTTTCACTAGATGAAGTTACTTCTTCACTACTTTCACTTTGTTTACTCTTTCTCTTCTTCTTTGGTGTCGCTTTTGTAACTTGCCCTCTGCTTCAAGTTGTTGCATCTTTGCCTCATGTTCACCTAGTATGTTGTAAATTTCCCATGTCCTTTTTTGCCTTTGGCTCTGGTCGCCCATCTCAGGTAACCTATATCCTAGAAAGATTTTGTCATAGTTTGTATTTGAGTCTTCGCGTATTGTTTGCATGACTCTTTCCTGAGTTTCCGGTTCAAGCTCTTCAAACAGAGCTTGTCCATATGGAATAAGCTCGTTTCCAAATATATGTTTTTGTAGCCATTCTGGTTTTCTTTCCATGTTACCAATAATATCTTTTGTGAATGGGAAAGCGTTTACCCAATGTTTCAGTCTTGCGTCATTTATTTCTGTAGTTTCCAAAGGAGGGACTTGTTCGTTTCCTTCAGGCTCTTCTAGCTGTTGTTGCTGAACTATTTCTTCCATGTCTGGTTGTATCTGAACTTCTTCCTGTTGAGTTTCTTGTACCTCATCTGCTGGCATTTCATATATTCCGAGACCGTTTTCAACAAGTTCCCTATTTAAGTCATCCGCATTCATAAGCCTTTCTTCTTTCGTTCCGTCTCTATTTTTTACGCGTTTCATGAAGAGAGTTGAATTATCATTTATCTCTGACACCAAATATCTCGGAGTAAATTCATTCATGTCATTTGGATGATATGCTATTAAATCATATCCCTTAGCGAGCTTGTATTTTCCAGGTTTGAGATTATATCCGATTTGGTGCTGAGCCATAAAGCTAAATAGGTTCGGGTCAATATTTCCTTCCTGGAACTTTCTAATAGCTTCTTTATATCTGTCACTAAAGTCAAGAGTATCTGGGTAACCATACTCTTCTTTAAGCATTTTTAAGAATTCTTGGTTTCCTTGTTCTCTACTTCTTTTATGTCCTTGCTCTGTTTGTGGTTGTTGTGCAGGGTTTTGAACTGTTGGTTGTGGTGCTGGTTGTGGAGGTGGTTGTTGTGCAGGGTTTTGAACTGTTGGTTGCTGTGCTGGATTTTGAACTGTTGGTTGTTGTTGTTTTGGTGCATGCCTGTGTCTGTGTCCATGTGACGATGTAAATGTTTTAGGTAGTCCTGGTGCAGGTGCTTCTCTTGGAGGGTTTGGTGGTATATAAGTTCCACTAGCTAGTATATAAGTTCCACCAGCTGGTATATAAGTTCCACCAGCTGGCACATATGTTCCATCTGCAGCATAATGTCCTACCTGACTTTTCGTTTTTAAGAAAGCATTTACTAGGTCTGTTTTGGTCTGTTGTAACTCTTTTTCTTGACTTTCCACAACAGTTGCTCTAACGGCGTCATAGGCACTTTGAACTGCCTGTCTCGTTGCTGCATCTGTTATTTTCGTCATATTTTGTGCTACTTCTTTTAACTCTTTGTCGAAACCTTCAGACTTCAGTTTCTTTCCAGATGAGAAGTCGTTCACTAGTTTCACCTTACTATGAAGAGCTTCGAAGGCATTCTTAAAGTCAGCATTCATTAAAGCTTCATTTGAACTGTCTTCATCCGCTTGTATTTTTGTCCTTATTGACCCTATAAGTTGGGCTGCTTTAGCGTTGGCTTGGGCATCTAACCAGTCATTATTAGCTTTTATATATTCTGCACTTTTCATTGCCTTTTGCATGGCTGCGTCGTTATTTTTACTTTCTTGTGCTAAGTTTTTCATACTGTACGGTTTGGTTTTGCAACTGTAAAAGTTTTTCTGCCTTTACATTTGCTTCAACTTCTTTTTTATACTCATCGCTATCCATATATGTCTTCAGGGCTTTTTGTTTTATCTCTTCATCTTTCAGTACTTTATATTGAGTAGTATGGTTTTTCAAATTTATAACATCTTGTTCCATTTTGCTACTTCTGCTGCTTTTTCTGACACTTTTTTCGCATATTCCTCTGTACTTAGTTCTTTCAGTTGTTCTTCTTTCTTCTTTTTCTCTACGTTTAACTCATTGAGTTTCTTTGTGTGTCTGTCATATTCTAGTTTCTTTTCGTTTCACTTATTTGTCTCTGTATGTCTAGGTTTGACTTTTTGACATCTGTTATTTGATTTTTGAGTGAACTCAAATTCATTTGACTTTGAGGGTTATAAGCTGTTCCGTCTGCAGCTCCACCATAGCCTGCCATTTTCGCTAAAGTGCCGCTCTTAAACCTCCACTCTGTGCACCAATGACTCGGTTTAAAAGCATAGGATTGCTTGACATTTGTTGCAACATAGTGGGGTCATTCATCATTTGTTGTTGCAACTGTTGTTGTGGTGTCAGTTTTACTATTGGATGTTTCAATGCTCCCTTCCTCTTACGTATATTCTTACGTAGCTTACGTGGCATTTTAAGTGAAGTTAAAAAGCTGTTTTTGACAGATGTTTATATGACACTTTTTGTTCAGCACAAAAAACTACTCGGTCAAAGTGTTGTCAGTTTTGTAAAATAACCGTCCTATCTCATTCTATAAGGGGGAAAAGGCTTCTCAAAGTCCAGTCTACTTGGTATTGAAAATCCCATGTGTTATAGAACGGCGGGTCCACTATAAAGAAAACATTTTCCTTGTCTTTATATTTTTCATACAACTCTGTCCAATGACATCTCACAAACTCTATACCCTCAATATATTTTTCTATGTCCTCTTTGAAAACATTTGTATAGTTAAGATATAAAACTTTTGACATAAGTGTTTCAATGTCATGAACTCTTATAGAACCACTATATAATAGTCTAGCAGATATACTATCCCAGTCAATATATTCTGCTTTTTTCAAAACCTCTCTCACAATATTTTTCTTATCTAATGGTATACGTTCCATCTTACCTATCTGAATCTTTTCTTTTAACTCTTTCAATATATTGTTTGTGTCTGGAATATGTTTGAGACGGTCCATATAGTTGTCGAAGTCATTGCATATAATCTTTGAGTCTGGGAATACGGTATGGCACAAATGGGATATATAGAAACTTCCACCGAACAAATCTACAAATGTTAGACCATTCGGTAGTTTCTTAAGTTCTCTCAATATAATATCTTTACATCTACTCTTATTTCCAAAGAACGGTAACGGTGGTTTTGTAAAATTCATTTATATATAATAATAAAAATGTTTTTACCTGAAAAGTGACAGAAAAGTGACAAAGCATGAAAACATATATAATTTGTGAAAAGTGAAACAAAAAAGTTAACGGCTGGTCGGCTGGGGTTCGGTCCTCCTCTTGGGTCTTGGGCAAAATTTCTTATGGGCTAGAGGGCGCAACGCGCCTGGAAGCCCTCCGAATAAAAACTTCATTTATACTAATCATCTTCAGGGCTAGAAGGGGCGCAGCCCCTGGAAGCCCCACTACCTTTTTTTTTTTTTTTTGATATGTATTTGTATCAGCCCACGAAACAACCCGTATTTAGCTTTATAAGTTGTTATAATTAAATATTCATTTTCAAGGTAAAAAAAGAATAAACTTTTTGAATTTTTTGTAAAGTTGTGAAACTTCAATTTTGACACTTTACAAATTTTTTAAATGGTTTACAAATGTTTCAGGGAACAAAGTTGCATCAAAATCCGAAACTTTTATTTTTTAATGGCCTGCATTAAGTTTAATTTTATTAGAGTATCTCGAACACTTATCTTGAATCAGATAGTTTCTTGCGGAACTTCAGGATTTTCAAGAGACTTCGTGTGTCATTTGATAAGTGACATTAATCATTATTTACGCAAAGCGATTTAATTGTTGTAAAATATTTCTGTAAAGAACCATTTTGATTATACTAACTTCAGTCAAAACCCCAAAAGTCACGATTCGGATCTCTTATTTAACTGAAAAAACCAACACCACATGATAACCCATGATCACATAAGCTAACAAAGTTATAGCCACATTCGAAATTCTTAATACTTGCTTATTTGAAATGACATCTGATTTGTTAATAATAATATTTGGTTCGAAAAGGAATTAAACTCCAAAAATCAACTACCAATTAAAAGAAAGAGAGTCAAATATAAGTGTTTAATAAGAAACAAAGGTATTTATTTTTGTGTTACTTTAAAATGATTCGTCAAAATTAGTTCTGCCTGCGTCCTTGTAATATGGAGCTGCTCTCTAATGCGAATCATCAGTGTTTCATGAAAATTAGGGTTCGAAATGTTAAACTGAAGTCCTTCAATGAAAATTTGTAGATCTTCTTGGAAAATGCTCTTTTTCACTATTCCGCACGAAATAGCACGCTCAGCCAGAGCTAAAACAGCCGATGCTTGTATTATTTCGTCATTTGAAAAACTGTCGCAAAGAGATTTAATTTTTCCGATATTTGAACAAAGAAAATGTAAATCGAAGTTTTCTGAGAATCCTAGATACTGTAAAGCTAGAATAGTAGAGATTTGGCCCAAAATAACGCAAGTATTCTGTGTAAATGGAAAATAAGATATTAAATATGATATTGAAGCAATTGGCTGATCATGAAGTAGCTCAACTGTTGAGTTTACAATAAAATCTATTTCGTCTTGTGAAAAATCTGTAATTTGCATAAAAGTTGTGAAGTTTGAAAGAATTTCAAGGAATGGCTTGCAAAACATCGTTTGTGGAGTTATTAACGATGCTATAAAAAGGATTGCAAGTTCTGCATTTCGACTATTGGAATGATAATCCGAATTTTCCATGAAAATATGAGGTTTCGCCAAAGCAAGTAAATATACAGACAGTTGCTCACAGGAGATTGCTGCTTCTTTTAGAAAATCAAACCAAATTGTGTAGTTAATTGAATTTTGTGGAAAATTTGAAGCGTATTTAAGAATTATATCACCAATATATTGTTGCCTTTTACGTATTAATTCTTGAAATAGTGAGAATAATAGAGTTTGAGATGGTTCAACAAAATCAAGACAATTAAGCATCATCATCCACTGTGGCTGCGTGAGTTCTGGAATACAATGTATGTCATAGCTTTGATCTCTATTAATAATATCAAATACTCTCATAGGATAAGAAAAATCACAAAATGAAAAAATACTTCCATCGCGTTCTAGTGTTTGATCAGGCATTTTTGGGATATCTGCTTCCATAACATCTGAATTATTGCCGTCAGAAAAGTCGTATTGATTTTTTCTTTTTTCATTTTCGCGAACTTCTAAAAGACTATCCAATGAAAATACTCCTTCGCCAGAATCTGCTACATTTGGAATTTGATCTTCTTGTTTGGAAGAGCTTTTCCTTCTTTTTCGTACTTTTCCCATTCAAAATTAGTTCCGGTCACTTTTTTATATTAATTTTGTGGATTTTATATGAATATCAGGCTTGTTTAGCTGAATTGATGAGGTTAAATCATTATTTTGTAGTGTTGCGTATTGATACACATTTTAGTTATTGATAATATTGCTTCTTTTACTTGAGTTTAGGAATGAAAATGAAATGATTAACCAAGTATAAGGATCATCTCTGTATCATTCTAAATCTTTAGATTCATATAGGAGATATACATTATTATAGTAAATCTAATTGAAGGTTATTAATATTATATTTTTGATTATTTCTAATAGAAGATCGATATTTTGTATTTCAAGTAATCCCAATTACATATTTCAGAAACTATATAGCGTTCAACTCTGATTGAGGATCAAAAGGTGATTAAATGAATAGATATCTTCATATAACAATAAATTCCAATTTTCTTATGAATTGCAGTCTGTGATGTTAGTTATAAGATCTGACTAGTTAGTTCATTATAAATAAAATGTATTATATCTGATATTTTTTTTGGACTCGTAAATTGTATTTTGAGACCGAAATCATGGTACACTATTGATATATGAGATATGAGATATAATGACTTCATAATCATAATCCATCGATATGTAGTAGTAGGATAGGATGGGTTGTGTGACTTTTTTTGTTACATCTATATATAGACGATGCATTAAAATATATTTATTTATAAATCATTAAAAAATTAACATTAATTTTAAAATAATTTATTTTTCATCTTTTATAAAAGAAGCTATATATAGATGATGTCAGATATTCCGCGATTAATTAAACATTGTTTAAATCCTGAATGGAATCAATGGAGTCATAATCAAAGACCTCATAAACGAGAAAAAGAAATTGATGAGTTCAACATTGAACTTTAAGAAACTAATGATTATTTGAATTTATGAAATCAATTATTTGATTCATTCTTTCTTCAATCTCTTCTATTCTTTTTGTTAAATCATCAATTTTCATTAATGAGGTGATTCTTGATTGAGGAATAGATTTCAAACTAACCACTCCTTTTATTTTTGAAATTTTGAATCCATCAACTTTAAACATTTTATTCAATTTACACGTTGTCAATTCTTCAAATAATTTTTTATTGTTAGCATAATAGTCATTAAATTCTTCAACAGATGAAAAAATTTTTATTTCAGTAATTGGTTTAACAACGTTTATTTTTTGTTGAACATTTTCACTTTCATTTATTTCTTCCTCCTCTGTTTCATTTATTTTTAAAATCGGTTTCATTTATCATTAAATAAAAATTAGAATATAAGTGATGAAATATATTTTTTAATTAATATTAAATCAACTATGGCGGCAGGATTCTTTTAAAAATTATGGGATGGAATTAAGAAAGCTGCGGGTTGGGTTCATAAAAAGATTATTAAACCCGTTGCAAACTTTTTGGCACCAGTAGCGAAAACGGCAGGAACTATCATAGGTGGAGTATTAGGTACTAAAGCAGGTAATCCGGCGATGGGAGCACAAGCAGGTAACGCAGTTGGTGGAATAACTGAAGGAATACTTAATAAAATAGGGGGTGGATAGTGGAAAAATAAATAAATATTATTTTTATCTTAGTATCGGTTGAAGTCTTTGATAAACTTTTTCTCTTTTATTTAATATTTCTCTTATTGGGGCGGCTTTTGGTGTTATTGATTCAGCAACGTCACTAATTGCTTCTTTATTCTTAAATATCCAATTTGCTCCTTTCTTCATTGTTTCCCAAACTTTATGCGCTCCTCTTTTTACTTTATCCCACAGTTTCTTAAATATACCTGCAGCCATAGTTGATTATTTCATTAAAATTAAAAATTCATTTTCATCTTTTAATTTTGATTTTTTATTTAATAATAAATGACGACTAACTATTTAGTGCCAAACACTAAACCGATTAATGGAAATGTGTTTCATTCATTCGAAAAGATAAATGAAATATTCGCAAAGAATGACGGTAGAAGATATTATAGAGAACTTGAAAGTTCATGCTATGACTCTGATGCTCCATATTTTGATGATAAACAAACTCATTTAAGAATTACAAATCCAGCTCATGATGTGAATCAATTAGGTGACACATATATTAAACGCAAAGTTAAAGCAACTCTAGTTTCAAATAAAGCTTTCACATGTGATGCCGCTTTTAAATGCATGCGTTTATTCGTTGGTTACAAATCATCAAATCAAAGCTTTAAACAATTAGAAGTAGAAACTGAAAGAGGTGATGCCGGTTATCTTCAAATGGATTGCGCCCGTGAATCTTTCGCATTTGCAACATATAAACCAAAATCAGAAAGGAAAGTTAAAAAGTTTGTTCATTCGTTATATAATAATGTTCAAAAATATGATAACTCAGTATGTGGTAAATATATTAACCCTTCAGAAGTTTTCAAGAAAGCAAATGAAGAAGTTGATGTCACTTTTGATATGATTATTCCGGTAAATGATTTGTTAGCATTTCAGGCGTTTGATGATTATCCTAAATCATTTGGTGAAATCATTCTTAAATATTATGTTTTCAGGGATACTTTAGTATTTTGTCAGGTTGACCCGTTAAGAGTTGCTGATTTACAAAATTACGTTTATGAAAAGATAACTGATGAAAATTATGAAAAGATTATGAATCATGTTTATAAATATGATCGCAAATTCCAACAAATCGGACTTCCTGCCAAATTAATTACAAGCTTAGCCGCTACATCTGCTGACGCAAAGTTGATGACGTTATTATTTCATGCACAAAGATGGAAGTTTTAGAGGATAAATGCATTACACCAGGATACGGTTTAATTGAAGAATCAGTTAAAGCAATACCACGTTTATTCAGTAAGGAAGATCCATTCATGATTCCAGCTCAACATATTGACGTTCGTTCACTAAATGGAGGTTGCATCACTCCTGAAGGTATCAGCTCAGATTTCTCATACGCTCTTCATAATGTTACAGATGTTGTGTTAACATTTCCGAAGAATGCAATGCAAAGAACGGTTTTAGAAAATCCAATGCTTCGAGGTCTTCAGGTCACTATAGATTCCAGAAACTTCCCCGATCAAGCGATGACCACAGTGGGTGACATATTCTTTACACGTATGCTTCAAGCTTCTGATTTAGATGGAGTGAATGAATGCACGGAAGAATACGAGGACTCATTAACTAGACCACTGAATGCAGATAATGGCACGCCATTAGCTAGAACATGGAAAGACCAAACTTCATTCTTATGCACTATTCCAGTTCAACGTGATGGAGCGGGTATATTCTTTGATGGATTAGAAACTTTCAACTCACAAGTTACAGTACAAGTGAAAGCTTATCCAATCATTCAGGGTGAAAATGACACTTACTGTTCAAAGGTGACAAATCCTCCTCAGGTTTGGTTTACTAGGACTACATATTGGACATGGACACCGGACGAAGGTTTGAAATATCATCCAACAGGTACACCACCACAGTATAGAAGTTCATATGATGAAATATTGATGAATAGAAATGTTTAAAATTATAAATTTATTTTTTGATTAAATGGATTTAAATTCATCCACTCCTTATGAAGAATTAGCAGGAGTATATAATACATACATAGATGATATGATTAATGAAGCATTGAGTGATAATAGAAATGCTCTATCTAAGGAAAAATTAATGAAAATTCCATATTCTGAATGTTATTTTTAATCACTGCAGCAATTGGTAAACAGAATAAAGGTAAAACATTAACGATATTAAAACAAATTATCATTATTGCTAACACTTCCCCCATTCACATGTGTTAATTTATATCAACCGTTCAGGTTCACCTTCAGATGATACATTTGAATCTTTAAAGCATTTAATCAAAATTTCAATTATTTATTTATCACAAGAAGAAGCAGAAGATTATTTAAAAAACTTTTTAATGTATAAAGAATTATATAATACAATCAAGAAGCAAAGATTAGAGGATAAAATTATTGATAAACAACGGGATGAATTATTTGAAACACTTTCTATTTCAAATTTTGATAGAGAATTTTTGCATTCACTCATTTTTCTAGATGATGCAGTGAAATCAAAACTAATAACAAATGAGAAATCATATTTTAATCAGTTATTAACTCAATGTCGACACATTCAGTGTTCATTCTTCATGGCTGTTCAATACTTCAAAGCATTAAGCACAAACATTAAATCAAATCTATCAACACTTTTCATTTTCAGTGGGTTTAGTCGTCAACAGTTGAACGTTATGCTTTATCAAGTGAATTTACCAATGAGCATTAATGAACTTTACACACAATATCAGCAATTAGGTGAACATGGAAAAATAATAGTTGATTTAAATAAAGGAGGTGTTAAATTTGATTAACTTTTTATAATTAATTTTTATTTTTTATTTATAATTAAACATGACAGAAATAGCAAATCTTCTACAGGTTCCATTAAAACAAGGGACAAACAAAAAGGGTGCATATAATAGAACTATGAAAGTTCCTGATGGAATGAAAGAATTAGTTCATATTGTTGCTGGTCTTCAAAAAGATGTTAAACAAATGAGAAACGTTTTAACATTACCAGAAGCTCAAGCATATGCCAAACGTCAAGGTCCAAATTGGGAAGCACACGAAGCAGACATTACGGGTCCAAATGGAAAACCTGATGGTATAAATGAAGTTTTCGTTACTGATGGTCAAGGTAATATTAAAGTCATAAATGGTTATAAATTAACTATATCTGATTATCCTAAACGTAAAGCATATAATGAACGTTATCCTATGCAATTTGATGAAAATGGAAAAGCTGTTAAACAATACATTGGAGAAGGTGAAAATGGTCCAATTAATTCATACCGTTATAATCCATATTCTTATTTCAATGAAGAATTGAATGCTATTGAAGAGGGACCGGATGGATTACCACGATATTCTAACCAGTTTGATGGTCAATATGCAAATATTAGACCCGAAATTTCAGCTAAGAAATTCTTTAAAGTTGCTTTATTCGATCCAGTTTTTGCAAATGTTAAAGATGAACTTAAACAGCAATTCCAACCAATTATAGTAGCAAGAATTGCATCAGGTGCTTTATCTCAAGCATTCAAAGATTTAATTAAGAAACCATTATATCAGCAACGAGGTTTAACTTATGATTTAGTTAAGGAATCAGATAAAAGAAAATTTGAGAAATCAGTTGATTATAAGAATGCAATTAAGAATTATATTAAGTCTATTAATTTCGATGAAAATGCTAAAAATCAACTTCATGAACAAATACAGGGAATAATAGATTCAAAAGTTCCAGCAAAATAAAAGTTTAAATATATTTTTTTTATTCGATTATAAATGAGAAGATGTTTCACTAGTCAAAAGAACACTAACGCAAAAGCAGAGATTACGGTTGGTTATAACGTAAATGATGATAAATCACGAATTATTCAAAATGTTAAAGTTAATGTTAGCCCCGAATTAACAAGGTCAGCAACTCAACCAAATTTATTAACTCGTGACTTACCGAAGAATGAGGAGAATGAAGAAAACCATGAGAATGGAGACCCAATCATTTTATCTGAACCTGGTAAAGAACCTGTTGAAATTCCCACTTATCCAACATACCCCCACCTCTTTCATCAAACATCGAGAACCCATATAAAATAGACATTAATTCTGAATTAATGAAAATTTACCGTGATATAATAATTAATAATTATGATTCAATAATAAATTTAATTGACCAATCAGGTTTAATTATTTTACCTTATGAATCATTAATTCACATTATCGCCATTCTTTGTGATGTTCAAGATTCAACGTTAAGATTCAATTTCATAGATGATGAGGTTTCATGCTGCGGAACAGTTGCAAAAAATAAATCCTATAAAGGAAATTAGCACAATTAAGATATCAAAGAACGGAACAACAACTGAACTTTCATTTAACAATATAATATTTATATAAAATAGTTGATGAATATAAAATATCACTTGAAAAATTCTTTGTTAAGGCTATTTAATATTCAAGCATTAACATTATCGAATAATAATCCTTTGAATCATAATCAATAATAATTGACCTTTCACCAGTTTCTATCGTTTGTTTTATTTCTTTTTGTTCCCCACTATCCGGATCGGTCATTGTAATTGTTTTTGTTATAGTATCAGCTTTATCTTTAACTTCAATCTTTTTTCCATCGGGATATTTAAACCAAAATTCCAAAAATTCGATATTGTCAATCTGTTCATATTTTAATCTATCAATTACATTTTTAATACCATCTGAAAATCTTATGAAATGGTCATTATATGGGTTTGATTGAACTAAATTTGAATGAAGTGAAATATAACCTGTTGATGAATATGACATTGACTCATATTTTCTGAAAACACTAAAATTTATAACATGAATGAATTTCTTATTCGTTGAATTTTTTTGAGGTAATCTTATTCTAGTTTTATTTATCACTGGAACGCTTTACCATATTTTTAATCGTAATAAAAATGTCAATTATCAATATTATTTCGAATAATAGCTGTGAATTAAATTTAACAGTTAGCGGAATTTATAATGTTACTCTCGTTTCTGTGAGTGGTAAATTTAATCCATTCTTTTAGACCCTTCAGATTATATATCATTTATTAAAGATGACCTTGAAAAAACGTATGATATGTATATAAATAATGTGATAGCGAAATGGGATATTAACATGATTTTAAGTTATTTAAATGAATCATTTATCGTATGGTATGAAGAAAATTTTAAATCAAAACCCGATAAACTTTTTGAACTTGATGAAATAAATAACCTTATTAAATTCCCGCTGAAAATTAAATTTGTACTCCTCATCTTCGTTCATTGTTGGGGATATTAAATTTTGAAAAAGATGTTGGGGATGTTTTGTATTCTGACACCGGTTCCAATTTCATTTTAATCAAATGTGATAAAGTTAATACCCAATGAGATTTTCACATCAAACATTAGACCCTAACTCTTACCCATCAATACAAAACATTTTATCCATCAACTTAAACACATTTTCTTTATCATATCCGTTTCAATTATCCGGGAATTCATTTATTCTTCATTCAAAAGATTTATCAAATATTAAATTTAGAATAACTGACCTATTTGATTGTGATTTAGAATTCATGAATGAAATATTATGGCAATTTCAAATAGAAAAAATAGCTGATGAGATAACAGATTAAATATTTATTTTTAAATCATAATAAATGATTAAACAACAGCAACCACAACAACTTAAGGCGCAAAACACCCAGGTCCCTCAGACCATTACATACGCCATATATGCATATAATTCAAAGACGGCAGAACAAACGCAAAGGTTGAAATATGGAGATTTGGAGATAGTATTGAAAATGACCATTTCGAATTCGTTTGCAAAGGTGGTGCAGTGATATCAAATATAAAAGAAATTTTATTTATGAATTCAAAAATTAAAGGAATAACGGATGATATAACATCAATTCCACCAGAAGAACAGAGATATTACGCATTAAATGCATTTCCTAAAGTTTTGAAGATTGGAAGATTTAATTTAAATGAGGAATTCATAGAAGGTTTCCTAAACGACATAATGAAGAAAGTAGATAAGGAATACGTTAATACTGAATTAAATAAGAAGGCAAATTTGGTTTATGTTGATGAAAAAGATAATGAAATTAAAGAAAAGGTTGAATGGTATCATGAATGGACATTGGAGACTTTTAAAGTTAAAGCTGATACAGAATGGGTTTCAGGATGTTTAGACCTTAAAGCAGATAAAACTTATGTTGATGAAAATTATGCAAAGAAGTCGGAAGTAAATGATGTGATTACAAGCATGAAAAATGAAATTCTTCAAACATTATATCCTGTTGGTTCTATTTATACGTCAATGAACTCAACAAATCCGGCAAGTGTTTTAGGTTTTGGTATGTGGAAGCAGATTGTAGATAAATTCTTATACTGTGCTAGATATTCAAAGCAAACAGGAGGTTCGAAGAAAATTAAAGAAGCAAACCTTCCACCGCACACTCATACAGGAACGACAAACACAACAGGTAATCATTCACATTCAATAACAAAAAGAGGTTATATAAATCTTGCAGCGGGTTCGGATAGATGGGGAATGAATAGATATGATATCACAACTGACCCAGTAGATTCAAGCACAGGTATTTTCTGTGGAACCGCAGGTAATCATTCACACACTTTCACAACAAATCCAACAGGCTCGGGTAAAGATTACATGCCACCATTTGTGACTGTATTCGCATGGTACCGCGTTCATTGAATGTGCTTGAGACTTGACCCAAAGGGTTTAGGCTTACCGAATGAACTAAATATATTTTATGTCTGTAATTAATTAGGTAATGAACTGCAGAAATAATGTTTACGTTAAGTGACTCAAAGAGTCCGGTGACAAAGTCTCATGTTTACGTTAATGTTTACGTTAATGGTTTCCGGTTATTCAATAATTAATTATTTTTGAAGAACTGAAGGTGTCACTACGTCACCATGTGCTACCAGGTCATTTAACTTCTCTGAAAAAATGAGACAACATGACATTTTGACAACAACACAGGAGGAAGGCAGTTATGAATTATTTTTGAAGAACTGAAGGTGTCACCAGGTCACCAGGTCACCAGGTTAATTAACTTCTCTGAAAAAATGAGACAACATGACATTTTGACAACAACACAGGAGGAAGGCAGTTATGAATTATTTTTGAAGAACTGAAGGTGTCACCAGGTCACCAGGTCACCAGGTTAATTAACTTCTCTGAAAAAATGAGACAACATGACATTTTGACAACACAGCAGGAAATAAATGTTTACGTTAATGTTTACGTTAATGTTTACGTTAATGTTTAGGGTAGATGGTTTCAGGTTATTCAATAATTAATTATTTTTGAAGAACTGAAGGTGTCACTATGTCACCATGTCACCAGGTTAATTAACTTCTCTGAAAAAATGAGACAACATGACATTTAGACAACAACATAGGATTAATGAGGAAGGCAAAAATAAATTCAAATCATACTTTATAAAGCTTCATTTACAGGTATTTCATCGTAATGAGTGTAAATGACCCAAAATATATTTTAGGGTAGAAGGGTAGATCTAACCTCATTTCTAACCTCATTTCTACCCTCTTGCGATTTTCATACGGAATCTCTTCTCTCGGTTTTCCGAGGGAAGCAATCATATGAGGAAATTCTTCTAAAAGTTCTTTTGTCTGTTGGTTTTCAAACCAATGATATGATTGCTTTGTAGAACGAAGAGCATTCATTATACTTTGCATTTGGTACATGTCATCTTTGACCGAACGAATGAGGCGAAGTTGTTTGTTATATTGTATGTACTCGTATTCTTCATTTATGGCTTCATGAACGATAGCAGTTGTTGTGTTCTCTGATGTTGATATTACTGTCATTTCATACAAAATAAAAATAATTTTAAAACTAACTTTATTTTTTCTGACTTTCACAAAAGACCAAAAATAAACGCTTTACATGTATTTTTCAGCAACTTCGTCAAATAATTTTATAGCTTTATCTATCTCATCTACTTCAAACGTTTCTTTACCTTTCATGGGAGCACCATACCTTTTCTCAAACTTTTCAAGTAGTTCTGTTTCAGCAGCTCTCATATCATTAACGAACACAACCTTGACTCTATTGACTGTACTGTCATATCTTTGAGTTATATTATATGTTCTTCCTATCTTATATCTCTTTGTATTGAAGTCCTTCGGTTTCTGAACGATGTAAAGTAAGCCTTCACTGCAACGTTCTGAGTCGAATGAACCATAAGTTATGAAGTTATATCCAACAACTGGGTCTAACCATAACAAAACTATTAGTATAAGACTTTTGTCTATAAGATATGCTCTTGTTCCATGAAATGCTAGTGAGTAGTTATATTTCCTCATTGCGGATTCATTTTTGCGTTATACATTGAAACATTACCAGCTAAAATAACTAAAGCATCAATGGCTTTCTTTAACTAAAAAGTTGTTGGTTTTATTTGTCCATTCCATACTTTGCCTCTTCTGTCTTTATCTCTTATCTGCCACACACATTCAGCAGCTAATGAAACAAAGTTATCGTATGTCTTAAACTCCTCAGATTTATATATGTCAGAAATGTTTTTATAAACCATGTCGCAATCTTTGTTCATAACTTTATGGTTGCAATGAAAACCAAGGAATTCATAATTTACTTTACGTATGAACTTCTTTATTTCTACTGAATCAGTAACTTTAACTACAATTTCATCGAATTCAGGAATAGTTAGTTTTTGTTGCTGAACTTCCGGTAATTTAGGCAAATGGTCTATGATATCTTGCATTTCATATAGCTCCTCTCCATTTGTTTCATCTTTCGCACTACAGTCTAAATTACTTGTTAAAAGTTCTTGCTTTATTCTTTGTATTTCTGTTTCAAAAGTATATGAAGAAGGAATAAAGCTTTTCATCTCTACCAACATTGACGTAGGATTCATGATTAATGAATTTGGTGCCGTGGTTGTGGACAGAGTCCCGCCGTTCGTGGCTTGAATTGTTGTTGTGCCGATTGTTGAAATCATATCTTTTATACAAAATAAAAAAATAAAAATAAAACTAACTTTATTTCTTCTGTCTTAAGGAAATTCATGAAAATTCATGAGGGTAGAAATGAGGGTAGATATCAGGTGAGATCTAACCATCTACCCTAAACATTATTTTTGCTGAATTCAGCAACAAAATGAACGAGGTCAGGATGTATGTAAATACCTTTGAATTCATTTATAACGCCCTTAGTAAGCTCATAAAATGCTTGTTTTGAGGTGGAGCCAAAAGTGGCTCGACCGTATTCTTTCAACCAAAACTCAAGAATTTCCTGCATGAATTTTGTATAAAAAAACAACCGCCGGAATTCAGACGGTTGCTATATTCTTCACAAAATGCCTTATAATACTCTTCCCAGGACTTATTTTCCAACAACTTTCTAAAGTCTTTCCTAAACTGACTGACTGACGGCACAAAGTGGCTTAACGAAAACATTAATATATAAAATTCATGAAAATTCATGAGGGTAGAAATGAGGGTAGATATCAGGTTAGATCTAACATGCTAACGTAAACATTATTTTTGGGTCATTTACACTCATTACGATGAAGAAGTCATGACAAAACATATACGAAGAAGTCTTGACATAGAGTTTACGTTCATGTTTGACATAGAGTTTACGCTCATTACGATGAAGTCATGACAAAACATATACGTTCATGTTTGACATAGAGTTTACGGTGAAATCATGACAAAACATTTACGATAAAATGCCTTCCTCCTGTGTTGTTGTCAAAATGTCATGTTGTCTCATTTTTTCAGAGAAGTTAAATGACCTGGTAGCACATGGTAACATGGTAGCACCTTCAGTTCTTCAAAAATAATTCATAACTGCCTTCCTCCTGTGTTGTTGTCTAAATGTCATGTTGTCTCATTTTTTCAGAGAAGTTAATTAACCGAGTGACACATGGTGACGTAGTGACACCTTCAGTTCTTCAAAAATAATTCATAACTGCCTTCCTCCTGTGTTGTTGTCTAAATGTCATGTTGTCTCAAACTTTAGAACGACATAATTTAAAATTTTATTTTTATATAAATGGATACCCCACAAGCTCAAAATTTACCACGAATCATAACAAGGGAGGAAACGATAAAAATGATGCGAGAACTTGCTAAAAATAACAAACCACTAAAACTGAGAAAATGTGGTTATGCAGTAATGATGGAAAGAAGAACCCAGAAGGGTTCGGGAAACCAATGACGGAAGAGGAATAAAAATTAAATTTGGATAGAGTTTAAAAATTCATCTTTATTAAATTCATCTCTTCCAATCAATTTATTTATTCTATTAAATTCTTTTATTTTTGCTTCACTCAGTTTAAGGATTGAACGGTAAGTTTCTAATTTTTCGATTATTTCTTTCCTCTCTTCATCGTTTTCAGTTCCATTAGTTTTATGGGTATCAACCCCATCACATTGCGGCTTCTTTTTGTAATAGCATATTTTTGATTTAATTCTGTTTAGTTTCTTTTTATATTCATCGTCAGGACTCTTGACTGCTTTGTTGTCACTCATTTCTTACGAAATAAAAAAATTAAATATTATTTAAATATAATGGAGTAATAAAATAAATTGGAATTTCTATTAATTTATTGTCAACTTCAACTAATGCATTGCCGTTAATATATCTAACAAATTCAGCTATTGTGTCAAATCTTCGTCTTCTTTTTGTCATTAATTTATCAGTTTTTCCATAATCGAGATGAATCAAAACTTTATCCCCTTGTTTAAAATTCATGAGCCCCGAATTAATTTGTTCACGTTTAACATCATTTAACCTTTCCATTTGCTTTCTAATATATTCCCATTCTTTTGAAATATCATTTTTCATTTCCACTGGTTTCATGTTTATTGTTCTATGCCATGTATTATTATAATAATATACTAACTGTTGTATGATGGAGTCATGATTTCCATCCCAGTATATCTGACCGTTAACCCCTAACGCATCTCTAAGAGTTCTCATTACCGCATCAACTATTTTATTATGAAACGTATATGGAGAAGATGAGAAGTAAAAATTAATTTGTGGGAAATAATGAGTCATAGTTGCCTGAAATCCTTTATCACCATCACCCCTGATATTATCTACTCTTTCATGATCTAGTAAGTATTGAATAGCTCTTCTTGTTTCCTGTTCTGTTTTCCCTTTCACCGGAATGCAATATAAATATCTAGTGTTAATGTTAATGGCAAATAAATAAGTAACGTTTCCTTTTGAATATTCCAGATGATCGATTTCGTATGAATATGGATATGGAGCAAATGAAGGGCGACTAAATTTTTCCTTTAACGGTTGAATTTTTGGGTCAGTTGGTTTATTTAATATCTTGAAACCCTTTTTAAAATCTTTTTGTTTCTTTAATGTTTGAAATGGATATAATAAAGTGAATGATGAAGGATTAACTGAAGGAGGAGGCGGTACTGTCGTTGGAGGTACTGTCGTTGCAAGTGGTTTAATTTTATCTGCTTTGATTTTGGATGATGAAGTTTTGGAATTCATTCCCCCCTTCATTAATTCTGGATGTATTCTATTCATTTGTTTTAAATATGCTGTATATAAAGGTTTGATATACTTTCCCGCTTCGAGTTTATGTTGAAGGATGAATTCCAAAAGTTGATCTTCATTTAAAAGTCGGGCTGAATATGGTTTAACTAATGAATCATAAATTAAAGCTTGTGCTTCATTTATGGTCTGAAGGACCTGGGCGTTTTGCACCTTTTGTTTTTGTTCCTTTGGCTTTTGCGGCTCAGGATTATATAAATTATATAATTCATCAATATCTTCTTCTGTTAATACTTTATTTTTGAAATCTTTCAACTGTTTAAGTTGTGATTTAGTTTTTCCCTTTGAATATTCATTATTTTTAATTTTGTCTTTAATTTTAGAAATTATTCTATCATGATATTTCAAAATTTCATTTTTATAATATGGATAATAATATTCCATATCATCACCCGTTATATTGTTATCATATTTTTGGAGATATGCTTTTAAATCATAATAATCAAGAAAATTTTGATTAAGTACTAAATCAACAATTAAAATTTTTAAATCTCTGTTATCCATTTATATAAAAATAAAATAAATGTTTTAAGGGTGCCCGCCTCTTTGAATCATAGTATCAAAACCATCATTAACGGTTCCTTCTTCTAAAACGGTATCAAATGGTGGCGGTTGTTGTTGCTGTTGATGCTGTGATGGGATTTAAAAAATTCGTTGTGGTTGATTATTTGGAATCTGAAAGTTAAAACTATTTGGTTCCTTTTGTCTCTTCTGTGGCATTTCATTAAAAATAAAATTTTAAATTGTATTAAATAAATGGCATACAACATCCATTTTCACAACATACAGCCTTAGTGTGTGCTCCTGTTAATGCAGTCTTACCAATTGTTAAGCGAGTCATTGACCCGTTTTTAAGTTGTAAATTAATATTCTGACCATCAAATATCACTTTATCATTTATTATATCCAAATAATTTTTGGGTGTTAATTGTTTATTTTGTCTTAAACTAACACCCTTCATTTTTTGTGCAATCTTTTTAAAATCACCCCCATCAATTGAACCGTTGAATGATGTATAACACTTAGGACATAAAGCAACCATGTTATCACCTTGTTTCTCAATTGCTAAACCCAATAATTTTTTCTCATGTGCTTTTTCTTCAGCTTTATTCTTTAATTTAGGTTTAAATTTCTCATCAAAACAGAAGAAATCAAATGGTGCGAATTTGAAAATGTTTTTATCATAAAATTTTTTATCGGTAACAATCGCCTGAAATGCTTGAGTGTTAGGAAGACTTGGATCGCCAGCAATAGCCCAATAAGATGAATCAGTATCACCTTCAATGAAATGAAAACGATTAAGATTCATGCATTTATACATAAAATCATAAATGAAAACCAAATACCAGTATTTTGCGTTATCTAAAGTGAAGAATGCCTCTTGTAAACATGTATCACATCTATAAAATCTATCTTTAAGCATCACTTGATATGTATCCTCACCTATTTCTCTTATGTTTTTAAACTTATTTGACATACATGCAACGCGTGACTTCTGTGCATTCATTATTTTAGTCTTTGCGTAATTTTGTGTATTCATTGCATCGTAACCATATGATCCATTAAGTGAAATCTTACAAAATAAACTTTTTCCTTTATTTCCTTCTAATTCAGCCTTTTGTCTTTCGTTCATAAATTTGTTCGCAAATTCATTAAAGCAAGTGTTTTTAGTAAATGTTAAAATTGATTGAATATCATCGATGATAAAATGAAATCTGTCTATTAGATACCATAGATAATAAGAAGAAAATGGTTGATATTGGTTGTGTGTTGATGCTAACTGAGTTAATTTCCTCTGTTTCTGGTCAACCGGTAGATTGTTTGATTTCATGTAATTATACATAAAACTGCCAATTGTTTTTTCATCTGTGATAATATCTAAGTTTCTTATTATCGGTAAAAAGTTTATGTAATCATTAATGTATTTTTCATCAATGTGACCCTTTACTTCAGCAACGAATAAAGTATTTTTCTTCTTAATTATTCCCAGTGCTTTTGCTTTCTTTGTTGCTGTATCACAAATGATAACACCATTCAATCTTCCCGGCATATACATTTTATGGTCAGTATATTGAATGAAATCATGAGGATTAGATGAAAATGATGAAGGATATAATGAATTAAAATCAACACCAACGAAATGAGTCATAATGTTGGTGGTGTCCTCATTTGATACAGTTTTAGTTTCTGGATTATATGAAAGTTTATTAATGTGTGTGATTCCTTTAAGATTTACTCTATGTTGAACATTTGATAGACCACCAGTAATTCCATTACGGAGAATGTGATAAGCTTCAACTGAATCTAAAGTCATTGGTAAATTATTTTTTAATGCGTAATTTCTTAAATTGATTCTTAAACGTTGAACATCTTCATCTTTATTTGATTTTTACGACATTGCAATAACAACACATTAACTGACAATTTTCTTTGGTATGTGGTTTTTCATTATCGATTCTATCCAATGTTGGTTTATTTGCATATGTAAACGCTTTACCACACATTTTACATTTAGATGAAAGGATTAAATCGTGATATATTGAAAATCATCCATTGAAACATTATTTTTAGTTTCCCTTTCTGCTTTTTCATCTTGTTTCTTATATGATTCAATTTTATATTTCCAATACTTTTTCGTTAATTCAAAACTTGATTCTATCTCTTCCTCAGGATATTTTTCATTAGGATTAAAGCTTTATATGCTAAAACGTAACGAATCATTGAAGCATTCGATGATAAAGAAAGATTATGAAGCATATCAATTTTATAAACAAATGTTTCTTCAATAATTTTATCGATTGGGTCATAATTTCAACATCTTTATTGCAATAATGAATAAAATATTCTAATCTATTCTTAAAATTTTTAGCATCATTGAGATATATTTGATAATCACTATCTGATATAGTTTTGCGTTAATGCTGAATAAAATGAATCTTTCGTGAATGGTTCCACTTTATATAATCTCTTCTTCGTAATTTTCCCATGTGATGAATTGATAAGGGAAAAAGGATTTAACACGTGATTTATTGTTTCCGAAATCTTGAGTGAATTGGTCTAATGTCCCCACCCGCTATATAATTTCTGATGTCAATAAATCTCAATTCATATGGAACGTTTGTTTTCTTTACAATGATTTGCTTAAATTGAGAAGAAGAACCCAGCATTGATTTATTTTCCATTTTGCAGTGTTTAAATCACGAAGAATTAAATTTAAATCAAACTTTCCCGAATTAAAACCTATGATATTCACTTTATTGAATTCCTCATCTAGAAGTTCTTTAAATGCTTCCTTCTGTTTTTAATTTAATGTTTGCGACTTCATTAATTCTTCATATTGTTCAATATTTGATTTAGCAACTAATGAACAGGTTGAAAATAAAAACTCAATCCAATCAGAAATAAAAGAATCACTCGAAGTTAAGCAAAAATTCCTCGTATATGTTTTATCATTTAATTTAACCGTTGATGATACCATGAATGGTTTTAAGTAAGCGTTCAAAGTTGCACACTCAGAAAGTTGTAATTCTTCTTTAGTCTCTAATGTTTCGAAGTCAAAAGTAATATAAGTTAGTATACATATCAAGGGTACTGAGGCACTGCGCGCCTTCGTACACCACTTAGCGGTTTTGACACTTTATGACTTCACTAACGACTTCACTAACGACAACACTAACGACTTCACTAACGAATTCACTAACGACTTCACTAATGTTTTCACAAACAACTTCACTAATGTAAAAAAATAAACGTTCTCACTTACAAAAGTATTGCAACTCCTCCCATTGCTGTGCTTCACATAACAGCTCATAATCTTCTGACTCACTTTCTTCTTCATATAGGTCAAAATCACTGTCATAGTTTATACCTGTAAGTTTTGACAAAGCTAATGAAACACGCTTACCGTTTGTATCGTATGCTTGTATAAACTTTCCATTATGCTTGTAGTCATAAACGCTCAAACTAACTTTACCCTTTCTCCCTCGTATCTGATAGAATGTATTTTCACGAGGAACGAAGAACAAATTCTTGAACTCATGACCGTTGTAGTTTGTTATCTCAATAGTTTTCGTCATTTATATAAAATAAACTTAAAAATAAATGATTCACCACCCTCACACGTATGAAAAATAGCACAAAAATAAATTTAGGTGAAGTGGTGAGATCTCACCTCTTTTTACCCTGTTTGAATTCATTGCTTATAACTCTCTTCCTTTCTCCAACTCTTCTAACTTCTTCTTAAGTTCAGCAATGTTGTCCTCATGAAGTTTAATCTTCTTAATTCCTTCTATCTAATGGTTGCTTTATCTTTCTAAACTGAACTCTACCATCCTTCATAGTATGAATGTAAAAACCTTCTGGAATAGTTCCTGATTTAATGTATTCTACCAAAAACTTTTGTTTCATTGCTTCAGTGACTTTATTTGTCATTTCAATCAAATAAAAATTTTAATATTAAATAAAAATAACGTTATTTTTTCAGTAAGGAAACGCAGGAGTTTTACGATTTTATTTGAGGAGTAGGTTCTGGTTTAAATGTTTGGAGTCGGTTTAGGAGTTGACTTTTGAATAGGAGTTTGTACTTCCATAGGTTCAGGAGTCATTGAAGGTTTTGCTTGTGAAGGCGTGGTTTTGGCGAAGGCGTTGGAGTTTGTTTAACTTCAATACTTCAGTATTATTTACAACATTTGCTTTATTTCTTTTTCAACATCATAACTGCTCCTGCTGTAGCTAGCAAACCTAGTGGGAGACCATATTTTATATAAGGACTTGACCAAATGCTATTTTGACAGGAGCTGGTGGAACACCTAACCTTGGTGAGACTGCTCTTTGCCATTGTGCAGCTCGTAAGAAATATTCAATAGGTGCTCCATAATCGTTTGGTAAAGTTTGTTTCATAGATGGTGAAGGTTCACGAGAGCTTGATGAAGAACTCATTTATAAGCTTTAAAAATAAACGTTCATCCTTTATTCCTCACTGTCGTCCGTAGCTAAGTTATAGTCATCTAATCTTATTATGGGGATGCCATTAGCCGCACCTGAATGGCAAAGCAACAATCCCATAAATCCAATAAGTGGCTTTGGTACATTTTCAGTTGCTAGTTCAATAGGTCCTTTAACAGACAATTTGTATGTTATTAGAGCAGTAGATGTTTGACCTTGCTGGAAGCAAAAGTCACTTCTGTTGGAAAACCACATAAGAAATGTGTGTTGTCATAGCTATCCCATTTATGTTCCACACTACCATCATCCACCAATGACCTCATAACATCTTCATTAAATTCCTATCATATCATTGTTTGTATTGCAAGCGTTCGCAACCATTTCATAAAATACAGGTCCATATGATTTTTCAGGTTCTGCAGGCATATTTCCATAAGCTCCCATGGAAAGCTGAAGATATTTAAACTTAGGGTTCTCAAAATTAACATAATAGTTGTCTTTCTTTCTAAATAGTGCCCAAATACTTTTAACATTAATAGGCGTATAAGCTGCTGTAAATGTTGCACTTGAACTATCTGTATTCTTTGAGAATGAACCGTCCATAGGAATCCAATCCATAACTTTAACAGGAAAACATAAAGCCTCGTTTGTATAATGTTCTACAAGTTCTGTATAAATGTTGGGTCTAAAGAGAATGACTTTGGATGAATGAAACATTCATTAAAATCCATCTTTGTTCGAAATAGTTGCTGGGTTACAGTTGTAATAGTAACTGTTCCACTAGCTTCTACTGACTTCGTTATCATAGTGAATGGTTCATTCCATGGAACAAATTTATTTGTCGGTGGATTTGAATCTGAAGCAAATGCAACTTTAAGAGTTGGATTGAAAGCAATGATATCATTTACAGATATAGATGTGCATTGTAAGGCGTCGCTACTGAACTTTACTTTAAGCTGAATGTTTCCTGCAAAAGCTGGAATAAATCGAATAGCTTTAATGGAAGGAATCTTCTAACAGGAATTCTTAAACGAAGCTTAAAATCAAATGATTTTCCTGCTGTAATTGGACCACTAACAATTTGTCCTGTTCTGCATGTTCCCGAATGACTCCATACATCTTCATGTCGAGTCTTTGAGAAAATATCTACTTTCTTTATTTGTTCGGTAGTTTGTGAGTTTGAAGTTATATATGCTTCTTCTCTTGCGTTGTCTTGAGAATATACGATACGACCATTTGCAAGGATTTGATATCCAGCAACTGCATAGAAAGCGTCATCGAAACCAATCCAAAATCCTGGTGGGTTTGTTTTATTGGAACCTGAACCAATTTCTTTATCTACAATAAATTGACCTTCCATTTTATACGTAATGAATGTATTGTAAAGGTCCAACATATTTTCACCAGGAGGTGAGAGATTGAATGTTACCCATGTGTTATCTTTAGCAGTTCCAGGTTGTGATGGAATCTTTGCGTCAGAATATTTTCTATTAGTGTCACCAATTTGAACTGCATTGTCTATGATATCGAAATATGAGCGAATCTGATGAATATGCTCTGCTG